TATTTTCAATCATAAGGATGCATTTTTGGGTCACTTAAACGATACCCAGATAAAAACATCTTTCAAGAGTTATATCTAATATAAAATTACATAAGTGCATTCATTATAAGCTTATTATTATTCAATGTAAATTTACCTTTGCTAGCCAAAGTATATATCTCATTAGAAACTTTTATTCACAATATAAAAATTAGAGGCTGAAAAGAATATAATCATTCTTTAATAATATAAAAAAATTAAAATTGAACATCTAAAATTTGAAGTTGGGAGCAGGAGAAAAACGAAGCAGACACAATTTTTTGAATAAAAAAAACGTTTTCAAATTAATTTATTTAATCAAATATTTATCTAATTTAATCATTCAAAATATCCAATAATGGAACATAAGTTAGAGGAAATTTAGGAAGGTATTTAAGGGGTAATTTAATATTTTTAAATATATTTGATCCTTTCAAATGCTTATAATCTTTAAGATCCTTTCAAATACTTCCAATGATGAAGCAGTGACAATTATTTTAGCTCATTTTTTTATAAGATTTAATTATAATATTGTTTGAATAAAATGGAATGTATGAAATAATGAATAGAAAATTATTTATTTAATATATTTAAAATATGTATTTTATATTATTAATTTTATATTTATATATTCGAATTTATAATACAATTTTAATATATAACATTTATTTTAAATTTAATTTAATTTTTTAATATATTAAATTTAACATATTAATTTTTTTATTCCAAATATATTTTTATAATAGATGTTCCACAGTCATTGTTCATTTAAAGATATTACAGGTTACTATCTTAGTTAAAAATGCAATTGAGTTTCTTAATAAAAAAATAGCCTAAATTTTATAACTCTAAGTAAATGATTATTCTACTACTCTCTTTGGAAAAATATATAAATAATTGAATTAAAAAATAATGATACTATGGAGTTAATTTAGTTTTACAATTCATTTTTGCTTGATTAATAATTATAATGTATTATTTAGGAAACATAATAAATCATAGAAAAGAATTGTGTGTACATTTATAAATGGATGAATTTTTAACCGCCCAGCTGCTGTAACATTTGAGTGTAATAAAGTAAAAGTAGTGAAAATTGATCTAAATATTACATTGGGTAGATTGAAGGAAATTATTGGGTGAAAGGTACAGCTTCCTCCCAATAAAATTGTGACAAATCTAGTTTACAGATATCCTACGTGCATAAATCTATCATAATACCAAGCATGCAATTTAGAAGATGATTTATATGCACAACAAATGTGGTAAGTGAGTTGTTGATTCTTAACTTAGTTAACATGTCCAGAGTTGTATATCAATATAGGTGACTTGGAAGATGATGGTCATATTGAATCACAACTAATAGATAGCAATGCTGGAAATACTCTTCCATCAAGTTGCAATCGGCTGAACATTGTAGAACAAGAATCCATGTTTAGTGATCACATTGAAAATCTTCACTAATTCAAACTTCCCCTAGACGGTGGCAACAATGGGCCATCTTGCTCTGTTCCTCAAATGGAAAATACTATAGATGAATTTGAAGACGAAGATGAATATGATTTTTATTTAAATATTGGTGATGGGAATGATAATGATGAGTGTGACGAGATAAACGAGGATAATGAGCTAGCATCTGCTTTCTTCTTGCATGTTAACGTTGAGTCAGATATGGCTCCTGAGTTCAGTGAATTAGAAGAAATTCTACCTTTCAGTCATAATGAAGAGTTACATATCGGAAAGATATTTAGTAATGTTCGTGTTCTGAGACGTGCGGTCAAGTTATACTCTGTTCGAGTTCATCATACATTCAAGGTCTATTATTCATGTAAAAAGTATGAAGAATATCAATACATTAACTATGGTGAAAACTGCAATTGGAGAGTAAGAGCTCATAAGAAGGAAAATAGAAACTTTTGGCATATTACAAAATATGGGGGGCCCCACACATGCTTAAGCACATCACTAACTCAAGACCATTCAAAGTGAGATGTCGATGTTATATCGTCTTGTATCCTAGCAATAGTAATTGACAAGCCAGATATGAAAATGACTCAAATTATAAAGAGGATGCAATCCATATTTGGTTATATAGTGTCATATAAGATGGCATGGAATGCAAAATAATTGGCCATTGCTATTGCTTTTAGGAATTGAGAGATCTCATATTCCTTACTCCCGAGTTGGTTGGTCGCAGTACAACACTTCATACCTAAAAGTGTGCCAATTGATTCCAGAGTATTACTTGGCAACACCTGAAATTTGGCTTAATTTGGTTCCTCTAATATGTTTTCATATTATAGAATGGCATCACCCTGATCGTATACTAAGATAATTCAGTCATCAACAACATATTCCTATGATGCCTATTCATTTAGAAAATTACCATATAATACAACTACATGGCAGAATAAACACAAATTAGACTCAACAATACTCAAACTTCATTGAAGCATGGAATGGATGGCCACATGCTGTTGTTGGTGCTCCTCTGGTACTTGGTGAACTTGATCGAACATTTGAGTACATGCAATAGTATTGGAGACATACAAGGTGATGGATCTAACGTGTTAGTGGTGATACTGGCTATGTGATGAGGTTTTTTTTTTATAGTTTTTTTCCAATCAATATCATCATTTTCTTTTATAAGAAAATTTTTTCAACCTAATGTTTTATTTATTTCAAGCTGATACAACAAAATAGTTATACAGACTAATGATTAATTCTCGTTCAACATACTCTGATTGTATTGATTATTGAGAAAGAGTTGCTCGAGACCAGCATAACATCTTACTTGTAATTAGAAAACAATGATTTAATATGAACCTTCAACCAACTCCACTAACAGTGGAGTTGCCCCGTCTATAAATTTCTTGAGATAGACCAAGCAAACGGCGTGGCGGTTACTTGTCTACTCAATCACCAATTGTAAATAAAAATTTAAAGGAACAAGAGCCTCAAAATTTAAGTTATTCTGATAACATACCAGTCTCATCATCAAGCCCTGTCACCTCTTCCAATCCAACTCAATTTTACCCTCATCACATGCCATCATCATCAACATTATTCCATTCTGATGCACCTAATCCTCCTCAATTTCAATCGTTTACATCCTTATTTGATGATCTTGCATTATTTATAGATTAGTATAACACTTTTACTTTTAAGCAAGGTGTTCCATCAAATGAAGTGTTTGTTACTCCTCGGCAATCAATTTCTTTAGTCAAATCACTTTGGTTTGATTTAAATATGCCAATTATGCAGATAAATGAGATACTAGATCAAACTCAAGAAGTAAATATATAACAACGACCACAACGTGCGTAGAGAAGACTAAGATATGGCACTGGGAGTCATTATTCGTGAGGTAAATTAATTCCTATTTTTTGTTCATGTCAATTTAATTATTAGTTATTATTAATTTTATAGAATTTAATCATTACTTATTTTCATTAATCACTTTTTAATTAATGTGATATTAATTATTACTATTATCATTATATAATGATTAACTCATTATTTTAATGATATGACCATTATTAAAATCCTTATAGGGGTATTTGTGTGGTGAGTGATTGTAAAGAAGATGTTTACACCAAGATGAAGTTCAATTACACGCCAAACAATGTTTAGTGAAGAAATTGTTCTTACTTAAATGAACTTTAAAAGTTAGTCAAGCCAAGAACAACTTTGACTATAGCATTTGGGGAAATAATTCCCACTATGTAGCATTTGGAGGATTTTTTTAACTGTTTGTAGCCTATTGATAAAAATTCCTGTGTGTTGTGATGTAGGTTTTTTCTTTTCTTGGGTTCAACTGGATCTCTCGTTACGAAAACAAAATAGGAACCAACAGTACAACGAGCAGGAAATCGAAAGATGCAAGGAGAACAAGAGACAAAGGACGCTACAGAATCAGCAGTAAACAAACAAGAACTGGAAGCAAATAAAAGACTCATAAACAAATTATTATGCATAAAACAAAATAAATTCAATTGAAAAAAAAACACAAAATAAATTGTTGTTTTATCTCCTAAATACTAATATATATTTATCTTCTAAGTACTAATATATTTATGTTTGGTGAATAAAAATTTTAATTATTTATTTGTTAATATGGTAAGCAGTCAGAAAAATATAAGTTCAAATTCTATGAAATGCACTTATTAGAAGGATTTTAATTTCAATGATCTAAGTTTAATAGATAGTAGTCTCAAACTTAAAATGGCTTAGGAATCCTCTGACCCAAAAAAAAATAAAATTCTATTGTTATGAATATCTATTTATAATGCTTTGTACAATTTTATTTTACTTTTCCATGTTTAGAGTTAACATCATTTTTAGTTTCTGGAATTTGAAATTATTTTGATTTTAGTTTTTATAATTTGAAGCCAATTATTTTTTGTATTTGAAATTTAATTTAATTTTAGTTTTGGTCCATAAAATTTAACCTTATTTTATTTTTGGTCCTTGTTTCAGGGACTAAAAATTTTAAATTGTGTCAAAATAAAGTTAAATTTTGAAAAAGAAGAATTTTAAAAAACAAAACCACTAATTTAAAATTTTAGGGATTAAAATAAAAATGGGATCAATAGTATTATCCTACTACCTCCGGTCCTAATTATAAAAGCCAATTGACTAATTTGAGGAGGTTAAGGAAATAAGTTGAGTTAGTTATTTGTCCTAAATAAGTGTTGTCTTTCTTAAAATATCCTTACTAATCAAGTGTATTAACTAGAACTATAATTATTAAAAGGCTTATCTTGGAAAAAATTGAATAAATATGAGAGACAAAGTGGATTTTAATTTGGATTCTTATATTTAGGATCAAAATAAAAATTAAACAGAGTCTTATATTAAGGATCGGAGGTAGTAATATTAAAATTTAGCTGCTTTTAATTTTAGTTTAATTTTATTTTGTTTGCAACTCTTCTAATTTTTAATGTAACCAACCAACGCAGGTTGGAAAGTCTGTCCGTTTGTCAATGACCCAGAATTTATGGCATTAAGCTCGAGGACTCAGGCTTCGTGGTCGTGGGCTCGATCCCATTAGCTTTCTGCTTGGCAATGAAATAATTTTACAACCGCAATGAAACGCGCCCTTGTCTTGTAGGAGCAGCGGGATTCGCTTTGTTCGCGGCATTTATTTCACAGTTGGTTGAGCTCGCCGTCCGCCGTTGTCAGCCCTGCGTGCTGGTTCTTCTCCGGCGAGTGTTGAAGAAGGTACGACCTCTATCTCCTCCCAGTATCCGGTGAGATTGTTTTGTTCAATCTAGCATTTAAATTTGTTCCCCGCGTCATGTGTTCATTGTCAACCCGGCGTTGGACGCCGTCTCGCACCTTTTCTTGCATTGTTTTAAAATTTTTCATTTTAATCAATTAGAAGATCATAAATTGCAGGAGTGTTATTATTTTTATTCCTCAGTGGCTTGGAGGAGTTGCCTGAATCAGTTGGCTTCTTAAGGCATCTTCGTTGAAGTGTCTGGAACGAAAATTAAAAGGGTATGATATCAACTATGCGTATTTCAAAGATTATGCCCCCATTGAGTGTAATATAGGTCCACCTATGCGGTGAAGGTTACTACATGAGAGGTTCTCATTTACTTATATTGAAAGACACTTCTTTTTCCTGATGGAAAACAGGATATATCAACAGCTAACAATTTAAATCGCATTTAAGTTTTTTAGTGTAAAAAACTGATCTTTGGTGATAGAGTACAGGTAACTTGGTTGATATCCTTCAAAATTTAAATATTCCATGTAATAAGAAATAAACCTACTTAATAACAATAGCATTGTTGTGAAATTTTTTTCGCCACTATGAATGAGACAGCGTCTTAGGCTGTTGCAGAGTTGTTGCTGTTTGTGCTTGCCTGGCCCATGGATCCATTTGATGATGTTTTGCCAGAAGCTCCTGTTTCACGTGGTAAGTGGTCCATTTAAAGGTACTGGGAAATTGTGTTTCTTGATTGAGTTTCTAATATATATATTGATCACAATCTTCTGTAGGTAGGGTGGGTGGCAAGTTTGTTCCAAAGGCCAAAGCTAAACAGCTGGCTCGAAAGGAAATATCTACATCAAATCAAGCAAACTCATCTAATGATGGAAAGAATGAGCAAGTTGCATCATCATCCATGAGCTCGGACACAGTAGGAAATGTTCCAACAAAAAGTAATAATCCAGTTGATTTAACTCCAGATAAATCAGCTAAGGAATTTCTGAAATCCAGTCTTGGTTCACCGATAGAAACCCCTTTTTTGGATAATAATAATAATCCTGACCCAGAGTTTCAACAAATTGATGTAAGTGGGCGCGAGGCAGAACCGGTTGAAGCTCAGCCTTCAACCATTGCAGCATCTGAGGTCAATAGTGATTGGACTACCAATTTTCCAAAAGCAGCTAATGAGGTAAATGCTGTGTTTGGTTGTTATCTTGATTTCTGGAGTATTTGTAACTTCTTTTTCCTTGAAATTTCTATTATTTTCAGGCGGACCTTGTCAGTTTTGATGTGGGTCTAGTAGTTGCCGCTGTTCCTGGGTCTGACCTTCATGATGGTAAGTTATGCTTTTGACTAATATTTGTATTTTTAGCGAAACCCCATTCTGATTGCTATGACTGGAGCTACTTATAAAATCATAGTTCGTTGCTTGTATGAAACCTTAGTCTGTATCAATTACATGTTTCTTAGGCTTGTGAGCTGCAAGTAAGCCTGTAAGAAGAGGATTAAATTTGGTTCATAAAATTTATTTGTTGAAGTTCAAATACTTCCGCAACTACTAAGTAATAAAACATTGAACCCCTCTTGATTTCATATCTCCCATGTGGCTGATGGCATGTACACCCACCTTAACGTGCTAAGCCCAACCAGATCTGTTGACAAATGTGATCGATCCATCTACAGCTAACTCAACCATTATTGAGAATGAACCTTCTAAATACTGGGAAGGCGAAGGTCCATTTCTTGATGGCAGCAAAAGCTTGGAACCTACTGATTCCTCATTGCAAGCTGGTCCTAACGTGGAATCCCGAGGTGCTTCAGATTGTAAGGTTGCAATGTTGGAGCCAAGTCATTCAAATTCTAACCTTGAGAGAACAGGAGAGGTATAATTTTTCACATATTCTATTTCTTGACATGGTGTTATTATCTGCTCACATAGGAATTTCTGTTTAGGTAGAGTCTTCTGAATTTGAATTGGATCCTTTCAGAGACACTCTCCCTGATCCTGGTCTTAGGAATGGTTAGTAATCTTCCTGCTCGTATCGATCCACAATAGTTGTGTATTACTGAAAGGATAAATTATTTTTTATTTGTTCTTATTACAGCTCGCAAGTTTCAACCTAAGATTAAGCCTCGGCCTAGAGCAGGGACTACAGCAGTTGTTGCCTCTGCTTCATCTAATGGTATGATGGAAAATTCTATAAAATTGCTTGCTTCCTGCACAGATGAACTTAATCCAGTCAACCAACTTAACTTTACCCATGTCAGACATCCTTAGGACAATCAATACATTAAGCGATGCTGATAATTCTTGCTCGAGTGTGCCATTGTCTGAGGACAAAAGAAGCTTGGGAACAGTAATTCCTTCACAATCAGAGCCTCCTCCTGCCTTGCTTTCAGAGGTTTCTGTTCACCATGGGCCTAAAGATTGGCCTTCTAACAGTGGAAAACCAGCGGGGGAGGTAAAGGAAGAATTAGTATTGTTTTTTGAATGTTATTTCAATTTTACTTATTTTTTTATTAAGAAAAAAAGGCAGCCTAGTGCATAAGGCGTCCCGCATTCACACAGGTCCGGAAAGGGCCGGATTTCGTAGGATCTAATGTAGGCAGCCTTACCTTGTAAATACTTTTTTTTTTTAATGCTCATAAATTAAAAATCCTTGGCTTACAGGCTACAGACATATTTTCTGTGTTGGAGAGCCTCGATGACTTTCTCACACATGATGGCTCTAGTGCAGGTAAATTACCAAAAGATTTGCAACCATTTGATAACAATGATTCTAACAAATGTCTTGTCATCTATCGAACTATATCAACTTTTTTAGAGTTCATTATCTAAGCTATTTTGCTGCAATCAAATTCCCCCCAATATTATAAGTGATTGACTCAGCCCATGATTTACCTGACATTGGATCTTTCAGTGATGATGGGGATGTTACCTTTCTTTTGTAGGAAATCCAGCTCTTCATTCTTTCCATGAGGAGGGAACAGAGGATTTTGTGAACCAGCCATGTCATATTTCCCAAGCTCAAAAGTGTCCGGACTATAAGGCCACTCACGATTCATTGGCCTTCAAGGAAGCTGCAAGCCTCAGTGAGGGTGATTCTCACACTAACAATGGAGGGCTGGGAGCAGAGGTAAAGATTATCTGATTAGACAGATGTGCTAACTTCCAGTCCATGTGTTGATTAATCAATCGGCCATGACTTTTATTGGTCTCAGGATGCAGGAGGGTCAAATCCTACCCACCCTCTTGATGATACCCTTGATTATTCATCCATGAATTCTGGCTCAGATCCAACTTTTGAAATTCCAGTGCGTGAAGAACCACCTGAAGAACCAACAAATACAGCAAATAATCCTACCTATGATGACCTTTTGCATGTGGACGATGTTCCTGGAGAAAAAGTTGTAAAATATCAGTTATTATTAATGTTCATGCACAAACTTTCCTTGAATTATGTTTCCCTTATTTTACTGATTTGTGAATCTGACTGCATGCTATTTGTTGGTTCATTTTTAGGATGGAGGTTATAAAGCAGAAGATGCCACAATGTCAAGTTCTGCGAAAAATATTATGAAATCTTCTGTAGTAGGTGAGAAGGGTAAAGTTGATAAACCTCGAAGGCAGGTGAGAAAGCGAGTTAATCTTAAAACTGTTGATCCAGTGGAGAATGAGGATCCTGAGGAGGAGGATGAGCTTGACCCTACTTATTCTAACATTGGTGAACTTGAAGAACAACATGATGAATATGAATTGAATAATGGATGCGTGAAGAAAAAGAAGAAATCTGTGACCAAAAATGCAAAACCACATCAAAAGCGTAAAAGGGCCAATGAGGATTTAGATAAAGCTACTAAAGAACCTCGTAAAAAATTCTCTCATTCAACCCAACGAAGAAAAAGATGTGGTAACTAACTAAGCTAACCGTGTCTTGAATTTTCTCATTGGTGATAATGGCTTGATGCATTTGATGCTTGCGGAATTACTGTTTAACAGTGGATAAGACTCTGCTGGAAATTCCTGAGGATGAACTGGATCCTCAAACATTACGTATCAAGGATATTATACTACTTGCAGAGTATAGGGAGCGACAAGCGGTATGCATTCTAATTTCTAAACCTTACATATATACAATGAGGAAAGCAAGCAGCACCTCCATGCTACAGTGTTTTATTACCATGCTTCTTAGTTCTTACATTTTGCTTTTATGACGTAAATATGATAATTCACTTATAGTTACATATTGTTTCTCTATGCAGAAAAAGGAGGCAATGGCATCAAAAACATCTTCGATTAATGGAAGGTGCTCAATATCAATCTGTTTCTTTGTTTATGTGAGACTATTATAAGTAGCAAAATTTGCTTATTTTCGAGTATGTAATGTTTGAAGCATCTTATTTACTGCAGTGTATTCTTCTCGTTGTTATAGTTTCATACACTTCTTATTCGAGCATCTGACATGGGGAAAAAGTTATTAGATCATGTAAATTCCTCCCCTTCCCCTTTTCTTCCTTGGGATATGTGCAACTGCCTTGCACAATCAGTCATCATATGACTTTACTGACATTTTCTCTTCCAACCGTTTTGTGAAGTTTTTCAGCAAGAGTCAAAATGGTTTTGAACTGACAATTGCTGGTTAATGACATTACTTGACTGAGTTTTTTTTTAAACAGTCACTTCTGTTTGAGGCAAATAAAAATGGAGTGCCTCTGAAAAATGAATATGAGATTTCATCTCTAATTTTATTGTGTTTGATCGAGTTGCTTGCTTTGCGTGTCCATAGTGCCACACCCAAATGTTTGTGACGGCCTGTTTGACACATCATATTAGGTGTAATAGGATAAGCTAATCCAATCTGCAGTTGCATATTTATCAGTTTTTTTATTGCAAGCGCTGTGCTGTATGTAAGATAACCATTAAATTGTGTATAAATAAAATAATAGATAATTCAATCAGTTCTTCGGAAGAGGGATTGTACTTGATTAGATTCTGATATATAAGCCCCTCTCATAACATTTCTTAACCATTGTTCTCTCTCAACATCGGAGAGATTACACACTAAACTAGATGGGGCCCACCATTCATCTCTTCCACGAAGCTGCAATAAGGACATTGTCTGTGTAAATTGCTTTTGTCTCAGATTCAGTCTCAGTTCTTCTGTCACTACTTTCCTTTCTCCTCTACTTCTTTACATCTCTAGTTTTTCATAGTACAAAAAATTACCTTTTCCTCCATTCCATTCGCATGTAATTATTTGGATTCAAAATAAAATTTGCTTGACTTCGTTAGAATCTTCTGGGCCATCTTCGTCTTTTGTTTATTTAGATCATCTCGCTTACCTAAACTCAGAGCCCTTTGTCCAAAAGAAGGAATTAAATTAGGCTTGTAAGAAACACAAAATAAATGGAAAAACTGTATAATTTATGATTGTATTAACATAATATTAGTTTTGCTCGAAGATAGTTTAAAATTTATCTTTTTATTTAAGTAGAAGTTGATTGAAAATATGCTTCTTTTTCATTTTCCAAATATTTTTTATTTTAAAAATCATTTATCCTAATGTGTGCTAGAAATAGTATTGCTCATACTTAATTTTCCTTGTACATTAGACAGTAAAGCTAAATATTTAATTTAATGTCATTTTCTTGTTAATGATAAGTGCTGTAACCCCAAAATTAGTTTAGTAGGTGTGAGTTTTTCACCCTCTAGTCTTTTGGGATTTTTAAATCTCCAAAATGTAACATAGCATGACAAATTTTGAAGGAATATATTGCACTTTCGAGTAGAAGTTGTTTTATTGAAAGGGTTCATTTTTTATTCTATCAACTGTTACACTGTGTGGCACACTGTAATTTTCTAATTTATCAGGTTCTATGTTAAATATAATCCTTCCAGGTCTTATTTTATGATGCATGAAACAACCCCTAAGTGAAAGTTCTATAAGGTCTTTGAATTGTTGGACACGTCACAGGCATTTCGTAGATTAATATTATTTGACACCACAAGTGAAAGGAGAACAACTTTTGGGAAGTTCCCTGCATAACTACTGCTTGTGATGACTGTTATAAATCAGTAAAATGCAGCCTAATGAATAGATTTATTCGGAAATAATCATCTGCAGAGATGGAGACTCCCTTCATAATGCTGCTGCTCGTGATGAAGACATGGGTTCAGAATATGGAAGAGGCTCAGATGATGATCAAGCCACTGAAAGCGTACCATTAGCTCCCACGTTATTCAATTACCAGTCTTTCATGGACAAGAAACCTAGAGGAAAATGGTCAAAACAAGACACTGAGCTGTTCTATGAGGTATTTATACAAGGCAATTTGCATTGAATTTTCTCTATCGGATTTCGATTGTTATATGTTCGGTGTTTGATAGCTAAAATTGTGACTAAAGCTGCTAAACGCGATGCTGATCTGGTTTCACAGATCACTCTAGCTAATGTCTCAACTAATAGCTTCTCTTTCATGCAAGTAGCAATGTCTTGGGGGGAAGGGCATTCCTTAATGATAAATTGCCTAATTTATACTTTATTTTAATTTTAGGCCATTCGCCAGTTTGGCACAGATTTTTCTATGATACAACAGCTTTTCCCAGATCGAACACGTCATCAAATTAAGTTGAAGTACAAACAGGAAGAACGACAACATCCTTTACTACTATCTGATGCTGTAAATAATCGCACAAAAGGTTGATAACTTCGTTTACAATTTTGGGCTGTTATTTTTTTTTCATGATGATTACATTATTTACCATGCTGTTTGTGTATTTTGCAAAGGATTTCCCCTGTTAATGGTGATTCTACTTTTCTGTGAGTTACTATTTGCCTTCTTTAATAATTGTTCATATTTCAATAAGTTTGTGTTACTATAGTCAAACTATCCTTCATGTAGGGATCAGAAGGGGCATTTACTTTCTTGATCTATGGTCATGTAACTTGATGGTGGAAGAAGATTAAAACCCACCTTTATTTCTGTGCTTGGTGTATGGCACTGTTTATCTGATTTAATGGACTGTTGAATTTTAGATTGCTTTTGATGAGTTGATTGCTTCAAGGAAAGGGAATGGCATTTTGAGTTTAATGGTTAGTTAGGATTTAGAAGTGAGTTTTTGTGACCCCCTATTTTGTTCCCCTTGATCTATGATTTTGTTCATTAGTAACTCGCAAAGTAGACTAATATGTGGATTCTACTGCCTTTTCCATTTCTAAAACCTTGCTTCCTTCCCGCCAAATGTAGCATTAAAGTTAATTTGGTTCTCACTGTGATTTGAACTTGGATTCTTTGATACCAATTCAACTGATTCAAAGCTCATTGTTACCTTCATTTATTTATGATTTTTCTTTTGTGGCAGTGACTTGTGCTTATGACTTATGTTATGTTTTGGCAGATGCATAATGGAGCCCTTTTTTCATTGAGTGATATTTTTCTTTTTTCTTTTTTTTTCTCCTTGACAACTCTTATTATGATCATTTTGATGCCATGCCTTCTTCCTTTTTGTATCTGAATTTTCATGTGAAAAATATTCTCTGCAATGTTTGCTGTGTCTACCACCTTCTCTCCATCTGTGATGACTTCTCTGGAGGTTTTCTTCACTGGCTGCTGTGAGCCTTTATTTTCTTTATATTTGGCCCTTTATTTTCTTTTTTATGTTACATTTTCTTTGCCGAAATTAGTGATTGCATTGCACGATGACAGTGCAGGATGGAAATTATAAAGCAAATTTTGGGCGCAAGTCTTTCTCTTGGTGCAAGATAAAATTAGTTACATTATCTTGGTTGCTTTGTTGAGTTCTTTTTCTTTTGGTGTCTGTGCTTTGATAACTGTCTGCTCTAAAGCGTTCCAGAAATGACGCACAAGATGTCTTCTATGAATATTGTTTATTGACTGAATCGTAGAAAACAGTAGTTCAGTTGATGAAAGAATATAATCTCACAGGAGCAAAACTATTCTCATATCTTCTGCAGATCTTTCTCATTATAAATCAGTTTTTGAGCGGCTGCAACGAGCTTCTGCTAAGACAGAACAAGACACTACGGACGCCTCAGTTGGCATGACAGAAGAAGTGGTGGACTTGACATCTGATCCTAATCCTAATCCTAATGTATGTCCCTTTGTCCCATTTGATTTATCTCCTAACATTTCCCTTCTTTGGTGAAGATAGTTTCTGCCATTTTTCATGGTGTCAGTTTTATTTCAACAACATCCTTTGAATGGAAACTGAAAAGTTGTTCTGTATTAGAATATGAGGTCTGTAGAAAATGATCTTGTACATGCTGCATGATCTTTGCGTTTTCGTGTGCGGGAAAGAGCAGATCTCTGAAGTAATTCTCCGTGTGAAACTTACTTCAATGTATAGGGGCATTTATGCTAGGCCATCTGAGCTTGATGATTCCTTTGGTTTGAATCCATTCATTATGTGCTAACAAATATGCAAGGTGACCTGCATATTTATTTTCTTCTTATATAAACTGTTCTGTCCAAATAATTTGATATACGGGTAGTGTCAAAAATTTTTCCAAGGGAGCTGAATATATGGAGAGTTGGAGAATGGGAAAAAATGACTCGCTGCTAGATTTTCAAGGCATCAAATATCATTCAATACATGTGTTGCGGAACCCCTGATCATGGAATCATATCTGAGATGATGTTGCGGGGATTAGGGAAAACATCACTAACAACTATCCTTTGTGAATAGCACAATCTGATCATGGGCCAGGGCAGGCTCTGCCTGGGCTTGGGTCCCCATACACCAACCTTTTAAATGATCTTTAACCCAAAGACGCAATAAACGTCTAGTAAAAGCTTGAAGCCAGCTCAACGATCAGGTTGTGATCATGACCCATGTTACATTGGTTAACATAACCGAGATAATACCAAGATGGAATTGCAGTACTCGTCATTTGTCAAAGCTTACTAGTCCTACTCTTAAAACCATTTTGTAGAACCATTCATTTAAATTTTTGTGGGGTGTACCCCCATCATATCAATCCTTCTGAATTAACTGCCGTTTTATTTGCATGCAGGAAGCAAAAGATGCGAAGCCGGAGCAGGATGGCTCTGTGCAAGATCATCAGGAAGATAACGTGTCATATCATAGTGCTGAGAAATCTGATGAAATGATGATGATGAAGAATTCCAAAGAATGTGTCAATATAAAAGCGAATATTAGTGTTATGAGATCTTTTTTAAATTAAATTAGAAGGGTCTCAATTTACTAAGTGGCCCAGAATCAAAATCTTAGATATTACTCACTCACACCTAACCTCATCATTATCACAAAAGTTAGTTCCAGATGCCAATGGCCTTTTGGTCCACTGGCATGACAATCACCCTTAAGCCCGTCCCTTTTACGCCTGAGCCCATCAATAGCCAGGTCAACCCATTTTGCCACCTCTACATGACAATCACTCTTAGTGGTGACAGATTGCAGGTTCCATAGGGAAGATTTGAACTTTAGGCTTCTACTTAAAGCCCGCACCATTCTTACAGTCTGAACTGGTTCCGAATGACTTGTTATATAGTTTCTCTACTCCCAAGGTAGTAATTCTACAACTTGTTTGCTGTTAAGATCCTTGTCTGTCATATTTCTCCATCTATTTGCAAAGTGGTCTGAAATTTTTCGTCCCTGATTTTTTTTGGGGGGGGGGGGGGAATTCACATATAACTGTTTCTCTTGGAATTTCAGATGTCTAACAAGTGCTGCAGGACCAGCAAAACCGGAAAACGTAATCAAACAAATGCAATAGGTAAATTTTGCTTTATTTGCTTAATAGAAAAATAAAAAAAGTAGTTAGAATTTGAAAGAAACCAATGAGTGAGCTGGTGGAAATATTGTCAAAGTTTTACTGTGTCTCCCACTATCATGTGACAACGTCTCTCTCCTTTCTGAAGTCCCGATAATCAACAGACATCATCTCTTTATTTTAACCACTAATTATGTCAACCTGTCCTAATTTTCCGACAAAGCTGATTGTTTGTTCAAGAAAGTACTTTACTACGAGTTTGACTGGAAGTTCATCTAAGAAAATATTAGTGAAAAATGAGTCTTCATAGCCATCATTTGGAAATGTTAAGGACATTCTCTCTCTTTTTTTTAATTTCGATTGTGGAGACCGATATTATAAGTTATTTCTGCTGACCTGTAATTAAAAAAAAGGGCTGTAAAGTGTACGTCATGTATTACGTTAGGAAAACTATTAAATCTGAAAAATACTATTTTTCCAGGAAGGTTTGTGGACTAGGTGATCGGTTGACTTATGTTGTAATTATTGGTGCTTTTATTGAAAAAAAAATTTTACTTTTTTATTTAATACAATACAATTAAATACAGGCATGCACACAAATATATGAAGAGCCTGAGAATATTTGAATTATCAAATTTGCTTTATTTTATGCCAAACAGATGGTGAATTTCAGTCCCAGGAAAGAAAAACACATGGTGAATATTGTGTGGGTAATGGGTATTGGTAAAAGTGGCAGTTATATGTTACAAAAGAGCAGGTATCCATCTATACACTTGTCTTAACAATGAGGCTATCCCTGAAAAGTGAGTATCTATAAATCTGGTAAACTTTGAGGCTTGATGCTGACTTTACCAAGTTCTTATGTTTTCGTTTACTGTGGATGATATTTCATTGCCCAAAAATGTATTTAGTTTAAAAGATTCAATTATTATCCGTTTTTTGGGTGCCAAAGCACACAAAAGGAAAAGTGCGTGGGTAAAAATTTGGGGTGCACACCCATAAGGCAGTTAGTAAAAATAAGGGCATGGATGAAAATAGGGCTACAAGTGCTTTTTGATTCGAGATGAGTCTTGCTAATCCTATAATGCCCTTAAAAAATTCTTGTGTGTTTTATAAGATAAAATTTCTCTCACATTTTTTACAGTGTAGTATCGCTAAAAATGAACAAATCCAAACACTTAAAAATGATACTTCCTTAAAAAGCGGTTTTTAGTTTAAAGGATTTGGATAAAACTCAATTATTTTTTTTAACAAATAACTAATTTAGCTTATTTTTAATCTCTATAAATTAATTATCCAGTTTTTGTATTCAAAATTTAGGAGAGTATTATTTTTAATTCGGATGAATTAAATCTTGAGAACTTATCAAGGCCAACATATGACTCAAAACTAAATACTTATAAAGATAATTATAAATAAAAAGTGTTGCAGTAACAAAAGAATTTAATCCAAGTCCTCACAAACCAAAAAATAAATATTTACAATCCAAGTCCTCGCGAGGTGTGAATATCATTCTTAACAACCACAAACTTTTGTTGGTATTCTTTAATATTTTAAAATGAAATAGAATTTTACTTGTACAATAATTTACTTTTATAAGTTAGTATTGAGTACATGGGATAGTCTTGTAAACGATGAACTAAGTCATAAATATTGAGGACAAAAACTGACAGAATTGAAAAGATTGAAAAGCATAGGGTGTTGTTTAATATTTGATGTTTGTTATCTTATATGTAATTAATCAGGAATGAAACAAGAAAGAGTAGTTTTCAAGATTTGGAGAGCTTATGAGCTGCATGAAGGAAAGACAAAAGTAAGACATGTGACAGATGAAGGTGCCTTGTGGGTTTTGTCTTCCAATGAATATGATGTTTTTGGAGAAAGAGTTCAAGTTATGTAAAGCCCCTACACACACACACACATATTATTTGGGAACAAAAGGACACACATGTAGTCACATTTGACAGCTAAATAAACAATGGACACTTACATGCTTCAATGTTTCATTGGGATAACATGGCCCTCTCAATACTCACCTATCAATCTTTTTCATCCAAAGTTAATCACATTGTTTCAATTTCTAATGTAATCTAGTTCTAAATATAGGACTTAGTAGGAGAGTTTGTTTTAATTCCAAATGGCTAAACGGGTATTTTAAAAAATCAACACACATTTCTTAAAATAATTAATTTAACTAATCTTTTTAAGTACTACGACTGATTCTTAATATAAAAACGAGTTAAGAGTTGAATTTGATTCTAAATATAAGACACCAATACAATTTGTTTAACAAATTTATAAATTATTATACAAAGTATCCCTATTGATTAGATATATAAAGAGGTTTCTATCCAATTTGGGTAATCATGATTAAAATGATTTTTAAAAAAATTAACTCATATTTATTACAAATAAATAATTTATTAATTTTTTAGTCTGCTCGAGTTATTTAAACAGCCGTTATATTAAGGACTGAAAAATAGTATTACAAATAAATTATCTAGCTCCTGGAGTTAACATCAAGGTAATGTTATAATAATAAATTAATTGATTGATTATATATATATGTATATAATTGCATGGCCATGTGTTGGACTATATACAATAATGAATTGCACTTGAGTCATATGATGTGCGGCTTCTGATTAATGACATAAATATCAACATAGTAACGTCTTTGATTCATGCCTTTTACATTGGTTATTGTGAGCTTAACATAACATTCCTCATTTACTTGGCTTTGGATCGACCATGAAGAAATATGAAGAGTTACAGAGTGAGATACGCCATCAAATTTAAATTTGACTTTAAGTAACTCAAAATCAAATAATTTAATTAAATAATCAAACACAAGCAGTCAAATCGTGAGATTTGAGGAAAAAAGTACTATTTCCTGTCCTAATTATAAGAGCTAGTTAACTAATTTGAGAAGATTAAGGAAAAAAGTTAAGTTAGTTATTTGTAACAAATATATGTTGTTTTTTTTTAAATATTCTTGCTAATTAAGTGTGTTGGCTATAACTACCATTGTTAGGAGAACTATCTTGAAAAAAATGTATAAATATGAGAGACAAAGTGGATTGGGGTCTTATATTTAGGATCAAAATAAAAATCAAACAAGATCTTATATTAAGGACCGGAGGTAGTATTGTCTAATTATATGATTGGAGATTTTTTTTTTATATAATATTTCTCATATTAAACAATGCTGCTTAATTTCTTTTTATAAGAAACAACTACCTAGAGCTTGTCTTCTTTGTTGATTTCGTATTTTTGTCATCATTTAATTACTCATTTCAATAATAATACTGAATACATTTATTATCAAACGGTCCTGAAGCATTTTTTCTGTCACATATTCTCTTTTTTTTTATTTATAATTTTTTATTTTAATAATTTTTTTATTCCATCTTTTATACTCACTTCCCGCACAAACAAGTGATTTCACATTTCACAACAAAATAACAAAGGATAATTCCTCAAAATCACGTGTGCCCAACATGAGCATTGAGAATAGGGTTAAGAGCCAACAGGGACATTTCATTTCTTGCATGTGATCATCATAAATATTCTATTTTAAAACTCTCTACATATTTTCAAATTATATAAAATACAAGAAATGATTTATTATATTATTTATGCTTTAAGAATAGTACATGTTAAGTTCAAATTAATATATAATAAATCAAAGCTTTAACAAAAAGTGAAGGGAAAAAGCCAGAGATAGGTTTAAGGAGAGCGACCGAGCTCTCTACTAATCCAATCCTCTTTAGCTGTGTAACGGGTACAATAATATTATCTATGAGTCTAATTATAAGACTTCGTTTGCATTCTGTAAAAAAGGTCTTATAATTAGGACCTAAGGTAGTATATAGTGTCCTGATATTATTTTGCAATTGAATAACGCTAATTTTATCTATAAAATATTTAGCTCCTTGATTTTATTTTTTTGGTACTTTTAGTACTCTAATTTTATTTATAGTACATCCAACACTTTAGACTATAAATAAGATTAGAGTGTTAGATGTAATTAAAAAATAATATCAGAGAGTATGGAATGTACTATAAATAAGATCGAGACAGTAGATACTAATAAAAAATAACACCGAATTAAAATACTACATGTTACTCTCTCCTTGTACAATTAGTATAGAAAAATGACATTCACATACCCTTTTAAAATACTATCTCCGATCCTTAATATAAGACCCTGTTTGACTTTTATTTTGGTCCTAAATATAAGACCCTAATCTACTTTGTCTCTCATATTTATACATTTTTTTTCCAAAATAGCTCTTCTAACTGATTAGTAAGGATATTTTAAGAAAGACAACACCTATTTAGGACAAATAACTAACTCAACTTACTTCCTTAATATCGTCAAATTAATCAACTGGCTCTTATAATTAGGATCGGAGGTGGTATTAATTATAGCTAAAAATTTTGAAATTTTAAAATTTCAAAGAAAGACTATGGCTCTTTGTTGGAATTAAAATTTGCGAGTTAAAATTTTCGGTACTCATCTTTCATACTTTTATTAATTACTTATCTTTCATATTTTCATTATTCATCTTTCACATTCTTAATACTCACTTTTTCAATAATAATAATTTTAGATATTTTCAATACGCATCTTTAATGGTTGGAGTACTAAAAAGAATCAAAGATAGATGTTATAAACATGAAATGTGAGTATCGAACATATCTAAGATTATTATTGAAAAATTAAGTACTAAAAATGCCAAAAATGAGTATTAAAAACATGAAAGATGAGTATTGAAAATATGAAAAATAAATACCAAAACTTCTCTCAGAAAAGTTAATTCTACCCAAGACCGTAGCCCTTTTTTTTTTCCTGAAGATTATATAATTTCAAGATTCTTTAGTGTAATTAATATTCTTTGGAGAATCCTTAAATATCATTTTCCTATTCGTGTAATTCAAGAAAATTTGTGACTCGGTTCCATTTTAGATGGAATTCACCAGCATGTCCTTCTCTCTCTGACTTTTAAATATTACATGCGTAATCGGACAATACGTTAATTATGAACTCTAAACAAATTCATTTATAATATAACTCATTTTTCTCCTTAATTATCATATTATTATATGTTTTTAGACTCATTGATTTATGTTGGGAAAAAAGGACTAATTGATTTATATTTTTGTTAATTTATTCTTTTGCGCCAAGTTCAGACTAGTTTGATAAGTGCCTGTGCTCTTGTAATTAATTTAAAAAAAAAAAAAATCAAAGACGCTTGCTTTGAGGTATAAGCATCGAAAAAGCTAATTTTCTCCCACAAATAATTGGAAGTACAAATTAGGGAACATTACAAATAAAGACCCCCAAATATATAAAATTGTGATTTGAGACCCTAAATTTGAAAAATAGCAAATAAGAACCTGGTCCTACTTTTACAAATATGAAATCATAATGAAATGTCTGAAATACCCTTCAGTCAAATGACAAATTGACTATAAGAAATGACAAGTTCACTTTAACGAATGACAACTTCAATAAATCAAATCACAACTTGCCTGAGAATATACCAAATGACAAGTTGACTATGGAAAATGACAAGTTCACTTTAATAAATAACAATTTCAGTAGACTAAATCACAATTTGACTAATGGGTATTTCAGACATTTCACCCACATTTCATATTTGTAAAAGTAGAACCGAATCCTTATTTGCTATTTTCTAAATTCAAGATCCCAAATCACAATTTTACATATTCGGGGGGTCTTTATTTGCAATTTTTCCTACAAATTAAGGATGTGATTAAATGGAAAATTTTTCTTTAGAAGAGTAATTAATATGGTCTTTTGAAATACT